AGAATGGTCCCCATACTGTTAACTTTGGGTTCATATATCTCTTTTCCTGTAGAAGATATCAAAACGCTGTTAACTGATAAAATGTACTTGATATCATGATAAACATTTTATCAGTTGACCACTTTTGATATCTTTGACAGGAACCGAGATAAATGTGCTCAAAGTTCAAAGTTAAGGGGCCCTTCTATTACAGGTTTTACGGTTTTTTAAATGACCCAAAAAAAGACATTTTTCTAGGAGGACCGCCAAACCCTGCACATTGTCCAAATCGGAGGTGTCTTCCAGTCGTGGTCGGCACTCGAGACGGGATTCGTCAATGCGTTGAAAGGCGCGGGAATTCAAAAATTTGTGATGTACGATCCGTGTGATTCGCCGGCGATGGGAGCGGCGGTGCTCGCTGCCAGAGAGACACGTGGCATTTATTTGGAGCAGAAGGAGGAGAAAACGAAATTGAGGGAGATCAGTGTGGAGGAGGATTAATTATTGCTTTTGCTTTTTTTTAAAATGAGATTTATGATTTTGTATTTATTTTTGTAGATTTTTCATGATATTTAATTGCTAGGGAAAAACCGATTTTTTGGTAATTTTGTATTTATTTTGTAGATTCTTTTTATTTTTTGTGAGAATTGATTTTTCCGATGATTATGAAAATTCTGTGATTTTGTAAGCATTTTTGTTCTTTGTTTTTCTCCGATTTTCCGGATTTTGCCAGTTTTCAAAAATCCAGAAAAACGAAAAAATGGGGAAAACCCCCCAAAGTCTAAAAATCCAAAAATCTAGAAAATTGAAAAATCGAAAAAATAAATAAAAATTTCAATGATTCCAAAATCCAAAAATCAAAAATATGAAAAAAACAATTCAATAATCCAAAAAACCCAAAAATTTAGAAATCAGCAATTAGAAAAAAAATCGAAAATTTGATAATTCGAAATTTTCAAAAAACCCTTCAGACTGCAAAAATCAATCAAAAATTGGAATATTAAAAACTGAAAAAATTTGATAATCCAAAAAAAATTCAAAAATCAAGAATTTCATTCATAATGTTATAATTTGAAAAATCATAAATTCAAAAAAAACACTATAAATATATAAATCCAAAGATTCGAAAATTTGAGAATCTAGTAACTCTGAAAATTTCCAAAATCCGAAAGTCTGATTTTCAGAAATCTAACATTTGGAATATTTTGAAAATCGGAACGTTCCAAAAATTCGAAAATTTGAAAAAATTGGGAAATATAGAACCAAAAAATGACTGAAATAGAAAAACTAGAAAGTCCAAATCAGTTGAAAATGTGAAAAACCAAAACAAAAATTTCAATTTCAATTTTAAAAATGTCCAATAACCAGAAATTCAATGATTCTAAAAACCTAAAATGCACAAAAATCCACAAAACTCTGACAATCTGAAAATTCTAAAATTTAGAAACTTAAAAACCAAAAACTTTATTTAAAAACTAATATTTCGAGAATGTTACTCATTAGGAAATCTAACATACCGTAAACACTCTAATAGAACGTCACCCAAACTGTCAACTTTGAGCCCATGTATCTCATTTTCTGTGAGAGGTATCAAAAAGTGGTCAACTGATAAAATGTTGTTGATATCATGATAAACATTTTATCAGTTCATTACTTTTTGATATCTTTGACAGGAAGTGAGATATAGAGGCTCAAAGTAGACGGTCCCGGTGGCGTTCTATTAGAGAGTTTACGGTATTAACCTGAAAATTATAAAATTTCGAAGAAAAGGTCAAAACACAAACACTCTAGTTTTTTTTTCCCGAAAAAAAGGCAATTTTAGAAAAAACGTCATAAATAATACACAAGGGAACTTTCCAAGAACATGACCTTTGTATATGCACATTTTTATATGTGTTGCGTGCTCTTTTTTGAGCAATAAAATTCCTTCTTTTTCGAGTTTACCCAATTTTTTGTGTTTCGGGACTTATAATTTCTCTGTATAAACTCATTTTTTAAAATATTTTTTTTTTGAAAAATGCAAAAAAGTAAAAAGTGATGTTGTTCTACAGAATTCTCTGGAGACTTTCTGGAATGAAAATGCGCTTCTTTTTTTTTCTTCGTTTTTTCGACTTCTCACTTCTTCCGAGATGATCGTTCTGACACGTGTATTGGGGAGAGCTTGTCTTGGAGATGTTTTCTTTTTTTAGAATCTTTTTTTTTGTGTTTCAGGATTTATAATTTTTAGGAGAATCTGAAAATCTAAAAATCTGGAAGTTTCTTCAAATGCGCATCTTAGAATGTTTAGATGAAATATTTTCATATTATTGAGTTTCAGGTTTTTAAAAGGAATTTCAATTTGAGAAATTTGGAATTTTCAGATTTCCAGATTTTTGTAGTATTCAAATTTTTTCTAGAATATTCAAACCGGTCTCTGAAAAACCTAAAAATTGAAAATAAATGAAAAATTCCTGAAAATCTGGAATCCCCAGAATTTGATCAATTTTCGATATTCCAAAATACCGATTCTTAGATTCTTAGATTCTTAGATTCTTAGATTCTTAGATTCTTAGATTCTTAGATTCTTAGATTCTTAGATTCTTAGATTCTTAGATTCTTAGATTCTTAGATTCTTAGATTCTTAGATTCTTAGATTCTTAGATTCTTAGATTCTTAGATTCTTAGATTCTTAGATTCTTAGATTCTTAGATTCTTAGATTCTTAGATTCTTAGATTCTTAGATTCTTAGATTCTTAGATTCTTAGATTCTTAGATTCTTAGATTCTTAGATTCTTAGATTCTTAGATTCTTAGATTCTTAGATTCTTAGATTCTTAGATTCTTAGATTCTTAGATTCTTAGATTCTTAGATTCTTAGATTCTTAGATTCTTAGATTCTTAGATTCTTAGATTCTTAGATTCCTAGATTCTTAGATTCTTAGATTCTTAGATTCTCTAGATTCTTAGATTCTTAGATTCTTAGATTCTTAGATTCTTAGATTCTTAGATTCTTAGATTCTTAGATTCTTAGATTCTTAGATTCTTAGATTCTTAGATTCTTAGATTCTTAGATTCTTAGACTCTTAGATTCTTAGATTCTTAGATTCTTAGATTCTTAGATTCTTAGATTCTTAGTTTCTTAGACTCTTAGATTCTTAGATTCTTAGATTCTTAGATTCTTAGTCTCTTAGATTCTTAGATTCTTAGATTCTTAGATTCTTAGATTCTTAGATTCTTAGT